TGCCTGGCCTTAGGCCTGCGACCGCCCACCACCCTACAGCTGACCACCACCCTAAGGGCCCCACCTTCCACCTCGCGGTCAGAGACCCGCAGGGAGGCGGCGCACGCGACTGCGCCAGGCCCCGCGCGCCTCACGGCAGAGCAGGGCCGCGGAGCCCCGCAGGCGCGGGCGCCGACTCCCAGGCCCCGGGGTCCGGCATCACCTGAGGCCCGGCCTTCGGGCTCACACCTCCTGTTGACTAGCAAGCGCCGCAGACGTGGAAACGTTTCTTCAAATCTAGGCGCTGCCGGCGTCCTCCGAATTTGCTTCGGTTTAAGCTCACCGCCTTCCTGGTTCCAGCGCCAGGCAGCTCCAGCCGACCTTTCGAGTGCATCGATGGAGGCTGCCAGGCGTTAGGAGTACCGAGGGAGTGGATTGTCACGCCGCCAATTTTTTGTTTGGTGTTGGTTTTGCGTGCTTGTTTATTTGATTTTCTTGTTACCAAAAAGCAATAAAGGTGGGAACTGAAGAGTGTTATTGCTTTACTAATCGTCGTTATCGTCACAGGTAATCAGTAAACCTTCATCGTAGGAAGTTATCTTTAAGACACCCACATGTAGCAAAATTGGTTATCTCATGCTGGAGGAGGAGAGAACTGTCCCAACAATAATAAATCATAGGATTGTGTCTGTGTAGAGTCGTGTGTGATTAAATTGTAATGATTTATTTACAAAAATGCATTAAAAGTCGGTGTTGCTTCTGCCCTGAAGGTGAAGGCTCTCACAGGTTGGATGCAAATTAGTCTCACGTTAAAGTGACTGGTTGGTAGAGGAATGAGAGAAGGCTGCCCGAGGCAGGGAGAGGTTTCTTCTGAAAGAGAAATTAAATGTATAGGTTTTTTGATGTTATTTAAACTGATAGAAATTAAAGCGATTCAGCATTTTCTGTAACTCATACTACATTATTTATCTGTCCTTGCATGAACATCATTTTTGCCTTATTTACTGTAAGTAACCAATGATGAGGAGGTAAATAAACTGTTGGCCTTGGTTTGGGTCGACCTGGAGAACCAACTCCTTCACAACTGCTAGATACCCAAGCTACAGTTTTCTGCTGACATTTCAGATGGTGAAAAATCACCTTCAAAAATATATTTCTCATAAATGACTGTACCTTAACTAACCAGTTTTGAGGGACCATTTTAAAACTTAACTACAACACTACATGTTTATTTTAAATAATTCAAGAGCTGTGGGGGACCCTTGGGGTCCCAAATTTTATTAGAACCTGTATATCTGTCTGCAGGCTGTCAACTGAGTTTGACTCTCAGTGTTTTTTTTACCAAAACTGCATTTTGAAATGTCCTGTGTCTGGAAAATATTTGCTATTTAATGAAACAACATCATTATAACTTCATGAGCTTTTATTAGTATATGATTTTAAAACTTTGGTTTTGGGGCTTTTTTGTTGTTATGTTTTGTTTTTAACTAAACCTCCCTTAGGCCAGTGGGAATCCGTCGTCAGACACTGCAGATACTCTTATAGCTCCATCTAATAGTGACAGCACTATTCCTGAATATACAAAGAGCCAATATGCCAGGAAAATCTATGGGAAAAACTATTTGACATGAATTGCACAACGATTGTGTCCGAGCCTTCCCTGATTACCTTTAAAGTAGTCATCTTTCCCTCAAGCTCAGTAGATGGAATTTGAGTTCAGACTTAAAAGTCATGTGCTTGAAAGGGCAAAAAAGTAGATAGTGAGTCTCCCAACCCCTTACCAGACTTCTAATAGTGGTTATTTTGGAGCTGTTTGTGAAGACATATTTAACACCTCATTTTGAGAGCTCTTTGATCACCACATCCATTGAGCTGACCTCATCACTAGTCATTCTGCCAAATAACTTTAACAGATTTTCATAAAGGATTAAAGTTTTATGGTTATTCCTTTCTGATAATACCAGAATTAAAGTGGTTACAAATAGTAAGCCAAGACTAAATGTAAAATCATGTTTCTAAATTCATATAACTTTGGAAAGTGTATTTGAGTCTCTTTTGTAGTATAATAAAAGCAAGCACTCATATAATTCATTAATACCTAATAGCTATTGCCACTGGAAACTTAAAGATCTTAATTATTTCTCCTAAAAGTAGCAATAAATGAAATGTTTTAAGAAGAACAAAGGATAACTTCAGAATTCAAGAGAAAAATGGCACAGTAACATTTTTTAAAAGTATGATTTCCATCTTTCTTAAGTTTACCAAATGTGAACATTTTCATCTAAGTAGGATAGCATGATGTAAAGTTATATATAGCCTCTATTTGCATATAGTCTATAAATACCAATATATTGTTATAATTATGTTCTCTTTTTACAAATGCTTCATGTTGCTTTGATGGAACTTCTCAAATTATCTGGTAACTTTGTGTTGATGCCTTAACCAATAGGTGGAAGATATATGTATCAAAGCCCTGTAATTGCTTTATTTTTACTAAGAGTATTAGACCCAAGAAAACGAACAAGTTACCTTTAACGTCAGAAAGCCTACATTAATATTCAGATTACGTGAAAATGTCCCCAAAGCCACACTTTGGGTATATTTGTTTACACACTCAAATAAAGAGGTATATTTGTTTACACACTCAAGTAAATATAACTCTCTGTATGTAAATATTCTGATGTGAGATATATCTCAGTGGCTACACTTCTCACAGAAAGCACAATACAGACAAATGACTCAGGAATATAGATGTTCTTCCGTTTAACAAACTGTTTCAATGAAAATAGTCCAGGGATAGAATTTTAAATCGTAGCTTTAAGAGAGAAAGAGGGAGAAACCTTTCTCCCGGCTAACATCTCTTTTTGAATAGTCCACAGTAAATAAAATTAGAAGGGGCACGAACTTAACGTCAATTTTTTTTCAAACTTAAAGAGGAATAATCACTTGCTTTTCAAAATTAGAAACTCAGCTAGAATGTTTCCCAGGATGCTACAGAAGAGCTCCTGCAGTTCACTGGGGGAGTGGTCCCGGTGCAGGGGGTTGTAAGGGAGAAAGGGTGAGGATCCTGAGACCTCAGAGAGGGAACGAAGTCCGACTGTCCTAGACCAGGCGCTAAGGAAACACTATAAAATGAAATCTGGCAGAGAACAGCTGCTCGGGAAATGTGTTAAATCGACCGGCCCCTTCGAGCGCGATGTATCCGTAGAGGAGTCAGCTTGGGCTCCAGGACGCGAGGAGTGGGGTGAATCACAAACTCCCCGGGGTGGGGAGCTTGGTGAAGACCCAGGCTCAGCTCTGGCTGCGGGCCGGGAAGCCCCTAAAAGGAGCTGCGCCGGCCTGAGAAGCTGTAGAGGACCCTGACACTGGACATGCTTGTGAAGCCAGGATGCCAGGCTGCGTGGTGAAGGGGGTGCGGGGGCAGCGGGGATGTAGGATTGGGATGGGAGGTCAGGATACGGAACTGGGGTGCAGGGCTCCTGGCGCAGGGCGGGGATGCCCGGCAGCAATGCGGGGCCGAGCAGTTGCGCCGCACCCTAACGCGGGGCGAGGATGTGGAGTCGTTGCCGAGTCGCGATAACCCACTGACTCCAGAAGCCGCGCACTTGTCAGTTTCCTCTTGGCCACACCCCGGCAGAGTAGGTCCAGATCCCCAGTGTTTAACTAAGTCGTGACACCAACGCAAAATCCACGCCTAATTAAATTAATTAGGGATTCTTGTCAATCCCGGATTAATGGCCAAGAGCGCAGGCGGCCGGGGCTATCTGAAAACCCGACAGCCTGGGACCTGCCTCCTCTTCCCGCCCCCTCCCGGCCCCCTTCGCTGCCCTCCCACTCCAGAGCCAGCCCGCCTGGACTCCAGCCTTAGTCAATCTCAATCTCTCTCTTTCTCTTTCCTTATCTCTCTCTCCCCCCCCCACCCCAGCCCCCACTCCCCCACCCCCAGGTAGCGGCGCGGGTGCTTCCCGGGAAGGGGCTCCCTCCGAGTTGCGAAGGGGAGGTAATTTAGTCAGAACAAGGGGCCGCCTTTTCGAAGTATAAATAGTGAGACTTCAAGCGCAGCGTTGCTATCAGATCTGAACTCTCCGCACGAAGAATTGTCAAAGACCTTAACATTGAACAAGCGCGCTCCGGCAGGGAAGCATCAGTTCCCATTTCCCTCCGGCGGCCCCCGCCCCTTCCCTCTTCTTCCTCCTCCTCCTCGTCCTCCTCCTCCTCCTCCTCCTCCTTCTCCTCCTTCTCCTCTTACTTCTTTCTCTCCTGCTACTTCTCCTCTTTCTTCTTTCTTCTCTTCTCTTTCTTCTTCTTCTTCCTCCTCCTCCCTCTCCTCCCCACCCCTGCCCCATTGATGTGTTATTATTGGGGGGGCTGGAGCAGTAAAAAGAGAAGAAGGAAAAAAAGAGCGGGGCTCGGCTGGGAGAGGTTGAGCGCGGGGCTGACGGACATCGGCGGCGATGGAAGAACTTACGGCGTTCGTCTCCAAGTCTTTTGACCAGAAAGTGAAGGAGAAGAAGGAGGCGATCACGTACCGGGAGGTGCTGGAGAGCGGGCCTCTGCGCGGGGCCAAGGAACCGAGCGGCTGCGCAGAGCCGGGCCGCGACGACCGCAGCAGCCCGGCAGTCCGGGCGGCCGGCGGAGGCGGCGGCGGAGGCGGAGGCGGAGGAGGCGGAGGAGGTGCAGGAGGAGGAGGAGCAGGCGGAGGAACTGGAGGAGGGCGCTCTCCCGTCCGGGAGCTGGACATGGGCGCCGCCGAGAGAAGCAGGGAGCCGGGCAGCCCGCGGCTCACCGAGGGTAACGGCCTGAACCCCGGCCGCGGCTCCCCTTCCCGCCTTTCTGACTCCTCTGGCGGGAGAGGACCCGGAGGCCCAGCGGGGAGGGGGGCGGAAGGCGGAGAGGGCCCTTGGATCCCAGCTTTGGAAGCGAGAGTGATGATGGAGGGGTGGGAGTCCGGTGGTGTGCACGGTCGTGGGTGGGGTCCGGGTGTGTGGGATTTGCGCGCGTCCTTCTCAGATGCTCCCGCTATTCCCATTCCGCCGAAACGCATTTTCACCCGCCGGAGGGTGAGCCGGCAGCCCAGACGGCCCGCGGGCTGATGGGGAAGTTCGCGGGGCCCGGCGACGGGCGGGCGTGCTGGGAGCAGCCGGGCCAGGCGAGGTGATTACGGTTAGCGTCTCGCGCCCAGTTTGCAGGAGCCCCTTTCCTAGGCCTGGGAGAGGAGAGAGAGATTGATTGGGATTTCACCCTCAGGTCGCCCCCGGGTTTCGGGCCACCCCCAAGAACCACTCGAACTCCGCGAAGACCCTGGATCTTGGGGTCCCCAACTTCCCATTCTCTTTGAGCTATGAAGGTAGAACAAGGCCAAGGCAGATCAAGGTCCAGGCTACGCTGTTTCTCTCGGGAGACGTGTTAGGCTCCTTTTTTTGGTTTGTTTTTCGATATTTACACAATTCCGTTACTGCTTCGCATCATCCAGTACTCTCGTTTTGGGGGGGGGGGAATCCTTTGGTGCCAGCAAAGTGTTAGGAAATGGTTTTATCTAAATAGTGGAGCGTCCTGTACCAATTCAAAGGAGTTAACAATAAAATTAATTTGGCACTTGGTGCCTGCAGTAACTGGTGTGCTGCCATGTTTTTCCAATTAAGAAAACATGTGACATTCGTGGAATCACATATTTAAGCAAGCAATTAAGTTGTTTATAACACGATCTGTTCCTGTTTAGGCCAATAAGGGAAATTTGGGTCGAAATAGAGATTAGATTAAGTCTATTAATCAACTGGAAATGTGGACCTCTTTCTCTTTGAAGCCCCAAAAGTTTGAGAGGCATCTGCTGTGGATGACAGGAAATAGGCAAAGCCTTCTCACCCCTTTGGCAGAATCTGAAGGGTGTGTTTTCATATTTAAATTTAATTACGCTATCAATGGAAATATTTTCCTATTAACTTGGCTCCAAATGTTTGCTATAATGTTATCCACTTCCTTCCCGGAGGAAGTGCAAATGTCCGCAAAACGAACTCCGAGACTAGAAATGCGGGCAACACTTAAGATCACCGTAGCTAGAATGCCAGGCTGGGCTGAGATCTAGAGGCTCTTCTTCCCCCATACCCGGCACCACGTCCTCTTACATTTGGAAAGTGATGGCATAACTGTCAGGCGGCCCAGTGCAGCCTCTCGAGCGTGAGTCCCCAGCTTCAGGCCCTAGGTACAGCGGCGAGCCGACCGTGAGGTTAGGGTCTGAACCTCGGGCACACACAGTCCTGGGACTGTTGATTTCCAAGCTCAGGGCAAGTATTAATTTCTCTGTGGGCCAGCTCTTCCGGAATCGATTTTTAACACCCATGGTGATCGGGATCCTGGGCTGGGAAGAACTGCCAACAGCCTCGACTATCCAAACTCAGCTTTGACACCTTAAAAACCCAAGTCTCCAACTCGGGAGCAGAGGATGAAGCTTCCTGAGGGCAGTTTATGTTGATACAGGCTCTCCATCACTGCCCCTTGGGCTAAATATATATATCCAGATCCCTCGAGTGTCTCGGTATGCTCACACTCACGCTCGCAGAGCTCCTGTTTTTAAAGGGAGGAAAAGGAAGCACAGGAAAGTAGCAATGGATGTGTGCACACCCAGAGCAGAAAAATGCATATTTTATTAAACATCCGAGCTGCTGGATGCATGAAAAGACTTTGAGCAACCAATAGAAACCGAGGATCGCGAATGTTCTGCTTGAACCTGTTGATCTCTGTGGGTTTAAGTGTTTAGGGTCAAGTCTGCCTTTCCAACGGGGAGACAGAAGGAGGGAACAGAGACAGTGGTCTGCTTCGCGGACCAACGGAGGCTGGTTTTCCGTCGCTCTCCTTCTGGCCGGCATGGGCGGCAAGCCCTCCAGGCCGCCAACATGGCGTGGGCGCCTGTGCTCAGGCTACCCGGGTCCGGCAGGGAGAACGGGGACTGCCTGGTTGCCCGTGGGCCATGCACGGGATGTGGCTCGAGCCCTGGGTCGGCACCGAGCGCGGGAGGATGCGGCTCCCAGCGCGGCGCAGCAGCCGGGTCTTGTTCTCCCGCTGCGCCCCTTCGGCCCAATTGTTCCCAAATTAGACACAAGTTTGAGAGAAATAGAGAGCCATCGGCGGCCAGAGCTGGGCTGAGAACGGCCCGGCACTCTGGGAACAGCCAGTGTGAGAGGACAGTGCGTGGCCTCGCCTCGCCCTTCTGCCCCGACCACGTCCCGTGACCTGCCCGGAGCAGCGCTTTTGATTTCTGTTCGTGCGTGGGCTAGGGGAGTATGAGGGCGGGGCAGTAGAATGGATTTGGAGTTCGCAGTGGAGGGCAGGGGATGAGGGGAGGATAGTGAGGGGGTGAGCGAGGCCACAGTTGCGGAGGGAATGGATGGGTGAATGCCCACCTTGCCCGCGGGCTGCCACCCAGAGTTGATTTTTGCGCATTTCCAGGATCCTCTTCCTCAGGGCAGGGTGAGGGACTGGGCAGGAACTCAGGGAAGGGGCAGGATCCTCCATCCTTCCTGAGACAAATCTGGTAATGGGATTTGCTGTGTTGTTTTTGTCCGTGTGTATGTGTGTGTGTGTGTTGCTGTGTGCGCGTGGACGGACGTGTGGCCCTGTTCGTGGTGCCCCCTCCAGTGTCCCCAGAGCTGAAGGATCGAAAAGAGGATGCGAAAGGGATGGAGGACGAAGGCCAGACCAAAATCAAGCAGAGGCGAAGTCGGACCAATTTCACCCTGGAACAACTCAACGAGCTGGAGAGGCTATTTGACGAGACCCACTACCCGGACGCCTTCATGCGCGAAGAACTGAGCCAACGGCTAGGGCTCTCCGAGGCCCGAGTGCAGGTACCAGGCCGTGAGGGGGTCGAGGCTGGGCCCAGGGAGCAGAGGAGGGGTGCGCCTGGGGTTGGAGAGGCGACTTGGGGGACACATACCGAAGGTGTGCGGTTTCGAGTGTCTGGAGTGAGGTGAGAAGGGAAGTAAAGACCTCTGTCTTTACTAGAGGTCTTATTTTCCAAAGTAAATCTTAGTCTTATAGCCCCCGCCCCCCGCTTTCTTTCCCCATCCCAACATATGTTCCCAGAAGAAGAAAGCTGTGCTGGGCTTGCTCCCAGAGTTTCTATAAACCACACCCCCTCGCCTCATGATGCCTTTAATGTGGTTTAATCCTAATGGGCCTACTTTTATAAGCCTTAAAAAAAAAAAATCCCACAGAAAACGTTTTATCCTCTGGATGCCCTAAAAGTTACACCGACTATTTTGTTCACCGAGTTGGGTTTCCTTGAGGGTCTCCTCTGGGGTCTAGGTTGGCCGAGCGGATATGCCAATTAGGTTTATAGATGTACAGACTATAAAGAAAATTAGCAACTGTTAAGTGCAGAAATTTACAGTGTGCCGTTCTCAAACTGTGTGAAACAGCAGGGAAATAAATGCATTTTGGTCACTCTTTGTTCCCTCACTTAACCAAATCAGCGAACCTGAACCTACAGAAACTTTATTTTAAAACAACCCACATGTAATATTGGCATTGCCAAAGTCTGACCCGCCCCCCCCCCACAAGTGTCAATGAAGTTATAATTGGAGCAGATTTTCTTTACTGGTTGTAGGGGTGAATGTAATGGCTAAAGTAGGCTTTGCGGGCATTTAAGGTGAAAAATTATATACAAACAAGCATACATATCCTTCTAGTTTTATGGAGAACAAATTTAAATGTTTCAAATTGTATTTCCGCTCAAATAATAAAATAGGAGAAAATGATGGTCATTATTTGTTTGAACACATGGAGCAGTTTTAGGCCCGAACATCTGCAGCTGTTAGAAAGTATCACTGTAACAGATACTCCCCGGGTCTCTGGGCGCAGAGACCACCATCTGCAGCACACTGTGTAATTCTTATGGGGCTTCCCCACATCTTGTAATAGGATCAGGACAAAAACAGAGCAGACACGGTGAAGGGGAAAAGTAATAATAGGCTGCCTTGGTCATCACAGTGTCAACAGCGGAGCCTTCCTTTTCAAGCCTCTCCTGCTTTGCTCTGTGTACTGAGATCTCTAGAGGCTCACAACCCCTTAAAGATATGATGATAATTATTACAGTTGTGAGCATTAGTATCTCAGTTCCAACTTTTCTAGGGGAAAAAAGAGGCAAGAAGCCTCAGGCCATGTGAGTTACACAAAGGATGCCACGCTGGCATGAAATCTACCCTTCTATTACACTAAATGGCAGCAGAATTATTGAGGATTGACATTGATTGTGACACTTGCTTTCAAAAACAAGAAAAAGCTCTGAAGCAATATTTTACTTTCATGGTTTTTTTTAACATTAATTTGTGAATCAGTCAATATGCTGTATTATTGGAACATAATGCTGTATTATTGGAGTATAAAAACAAGCTTTATTTGAATTTTTAAAAATCTGTCATACTGCCTCTAAAAGTTAGCAAGTTTATTTAAGAAAGTACTATCTGGGAGAAGATAGAATCCAAGAGTTACTTGATTCATACCCCACCTCTCTTTCACAGCATGTTGTTCCCTTTTTCTCATAAGAAGTGAACTTTATTGCTGGTCTTTATTTTTTCCTACTTTATTTAAATTTTGAGGTATTTTCTGGATGCTTCTCTACTACCCTCACTGCAAACAGTGGCTTTTTCTATAGAAGGAAATTAGATTATCATGATAATAGCACAATTATTCTGCTACTGTGTTACACTCTGCTGCACAGAGGAACAGGGAAATTCTAAACTTCTTTGTAGTGAGGCTTTTATGACACTAATTACCTCTTCCTCCCTTCTTATACCCCTCCCCCCAGAAAAAAAACAAAGTCACTATTTGCTTTGGTGTTGGGTTTTTTCTTGAAGATGAAGCTAATTAATATTACAAGCTATTAATGAGCACATTCTTCTCAGGTCTTACTGGGCAAACATCTAAACCCATTATCACTTTGGTATCAGGTATCAGGGAGAGTTTTAGGCCTTGGGGACTCTAATGTGGAAAGAAGAAACCAGGACTAACAGTAATTTATCAAGAAACAATTTATCTTGCAAAAGTCTGTGAAATCTATTTTTGTCATTTGTTTACATTTTTAACTCTGGAAATTGAGACTGTTCTATATACTTCAAAGATTGCTTGCTATATCTCCCAATCCTTGCCTAAAATACTACTCTTTTTTCATTGTAATTTTTTAAAAAATTTTGAGTCATATCATCTAGGTTTTATTTTTCCCCTCCGATTTGTAGGTTTGGTTTCAAAATCGAAGAGCTAAATGTAGAAAACAAGAAAATCAACTTCATAAAGGTATGCTTCTCAGAAAAGAACATTTGATATTATAAGTAAAAAGAGAATTGGGGAATATTGTTATTACAAAGACAGAAAAAAACTTCTCAAAGATAACCATGGTCTTTATTTAAAAATCTGCTCTGAAGGCAGCTAATGAGAGTCTTAAAGTTTGGGAGTAAATTATGTTTATTTTAATTATACAGCAGCTTAGGAAGATAACAGTCCAATTCCAAAGGAATTAGTTCTATCTTGGTACCATTTGGAACCCTGCAAAACAATGCTGGAAATATCAACCTAACGTTATTGTGTTTTCTTCCCCCATTTTTTATAGGTGTCCTCATAGGAGCTGCTAGCCAATTTGAAGCATGTAGAGTGGCACCCTATGTCAACGTAGGTGCTTTAAGGATGCCATTTCAGCAGGCAAGTACAGCCCAGTTTCAACCTGTTTTTAATCCTATAAAGACTTGGATGTTTGCTTGAAAGTTGAATATTCCCTGTCTCTGAACCCCAATGTTGTTGTCCATGCAGTTGAAGAAACAATTTTGAGATGATATAGTGGATCTACTCCCCTTTAACAACCTATACAGTGTCAGAGCCCTGCATGCCTCATCCTTTCTGACCTCTTGGGAAACCCGAGGAGGCCTGAGGGCAGCAACCGGTCCTTTAAAAACGCACTCAAGATTGTGGTTGGGGAGAGGAAGGAAAGGCCTTTTGATTAAAATTTTGTCAGATCCAATACAGAAGTTAGTCCTAAAGAGTTTCTAAAGCAACTCTCTAAATATTTTTCTAGGTATTTTCTACATCTTAGTCACATTAAAGGTCTCTGACATAAAATAAATAAATGAATGAATGAATGAATGAATGAATGTACTCCCAACTCGGACTTGATTTTTTAAAGCTGTCTCTGCAAACAAAGCTTCATCTCTAGTAGAGAGGGAAGCCTTGGCCTTCCCAGGGACACCCTGCCTCTGCAATCCCTTTCTTAGCCATAAAGAAACCTTTAAGACTACATTTTAAAAGGACAGCCTGCAGCAATGATTTAATCCTGGGAAATCCCAGTGCTCTGAACTCCCCGCTCTCCAAGCCTAAGGGCGAATCCTTTCCCAGCCAATGCTTGCCCTTCCCCATCCTCAGCCAGGACCCCTGCTTGGTAGGACCGTGAAGCCCTGAATTAGCTCTCAGTTGCCAGCGTCCTGGACTGCAGAGACACCTGAGTCGGCCCCTGTATCGAGGGTTAGTGTTAGGGATGTTTTGGCACCACAGGACTCTGGTATCCTGATGAGAGAATGACTGGAGAAAGAGAGAGAGGGATCTTAAAAGGAGACCCTCACTACTCAGAAGGTGATCTGCAGGTCTGCAGCATCTGGGAGATTGTTAGAAATGCAGAATCTAAGGCCCCAACCTAGACCTTCTGAATCAGAATCTACATTTTAACAAGATGCCCAGGTAATTCCTACAGCAGTAAAGGTTAGAAGTACTAACAATTGTGCCAGTTGTGATGAAGATGGAATAACTTCCCTAAGTGACATAAAAAAGTTTTGTAGTTTGCTTTTGGTACTTCAGTGCTTTAGTAGTGGAGTAAGAGATGTGTGACAGCATCAAGAGAGGAGGGTAAGGGCCCTCGCCCTGTCTTTCCAATATACCATTGTTATGTTGAGGAGGGCGATATTTTAGCACGGTAGCAATGTCGCTCTCTGATGGGCCCCGCTCCCGAGGGGGCTGCTGAATCCCTGCAGACGGGAGTCCCCGGGGCCCATGCAGATAAGCCGCGCTGATTGAGTTGCAGAGACTCAGGGGCCCTGGAGTATCCCTGTGGCGACCCAGATTCAGTAACAGACTGAGAAGGTCAGCCAAATGTCCCTTTCCCAGCCCCCGCCCCAGCCTTCCCCCGAGCCAAGCTGGACGCCGTTAATGTTCTGTTTCTATTCTGTTGTCACCCTAGGATAGTCATTGCAACGTGACGCCCTTGTCCTTTCAGGTTCAGGCGCAGCTGCAGCTGGACAGCGCCGTGGCGCACGCGCACCACCACCTGCACCCGCACCTGGCCGCGCACGCGCCCTACATGATGTTCCCGGCGCCGCCCTTCGGACTGCCGCTCGCCACGCTGGCCGCGGACTCGGCCTCGGCCGCGTCTGTGGTAGCTGCTGCCGCCGCCGCCAAGACCACCAGCAAGAACTCCAGCATCGCAGATCTCAGACTGAAAGCCAAAAAGCACGCGGCTGCCCTGGGTCTGTGACGCCAACGCCAGCGCCAACGTCGCGCCTCCAGCGTGGCGCGCAGCCTGCACGCCCTCCGCGCCCCGCTGCTCCTCCGTTACCCTCTCCGGACCTCCGGCGCCGAGCCTCCTTCCGCCCGCTGATCGCCCCTTGCCCCCTTCCGCATCCCGGGCTCGGAGGGCTGGACTCCGCGCGGGACCCGGGATCCCACGTGGCACGCCAGCTCCGTGGCTCCTGACTATTCACCTACCTAAGGGCCTAGAATTCGCCTTTGTAGGGGCGGGCTGGGGAAGTCTGGAGAGAGACTGGATGAGGGAGTGCTGGGACAGCGCAGTGTGGCTGACGGCAAAGATGCACCGGTGGACTCCGGCATAGAAAGAAACATCATGTTAATAAAAAATGAGTACAAAAAAAGAGTAGAAAAGACAAACCAGAGAGAAAAAGAGCAAGGGAACTTATTGCTATTTGACAGAAGCTGAAATCGGAGAGAGAACCATGGAAGAAACTTTTAGAAAGTATTTTATACATTTAACAATACGGAAAAATAACCAGGATGAATCTCGAGAGAATGGGGGAGAGTTACCAACTGTAGTGTATGTTTTTTTTTTAATGGGCTGAGAAGACAAAACGGAAAGAAGAATACTTATTTAAAGACTTAAGATGAAACAAAAGTGCGCAGCTGGGAAGTTCACGGGTTTTGAAACTGACCTTTTTCTGCGAAGTTCACTTTAATACAAGAAATTTGATGAGAGGCGGGCCTCCTTTTACGTTGAATCAGATGCTTTGAGTTAAAAGCCACCACGTGTGGAAGACCAAGAAGAGGGAAGGCAGTATAAAAACGAGGAGAGAACAAATATAAATGCAGAAAGCTGACACTACAGACAGCGATTTCGCTGAGCAATTGTCATGGCAGAACTGTGCAGACTGCCACAGTCAATTCCGGTGTGCATGTTACTTGTGTTCCATTGATGGCGTCTCCCCCTCCCGGCTTTGCTCACATGCACTTACTCCATTTTCATCTCCAGTAAGAAAAACAACACCCAAAGCGTCTGGAAATTGATATATATCTATATATATTTTTGCCCCGTCGTTGATCCTGGGTGACAAAAAAGTCGGAAGGGAAAAAATTTACACTCTGATTATCCCAAGAAAATATGGGGAAAGGAAAAAAAACAAGAAGACCCAATGAAATGAAGGTACAGCGCCTCACACGGGGCCTGACATACAGTAGGCGCTCAGTGTTAGTCCCCTCCCCCGCCCCTTTCTTGACTTCCCTCTTGCTGATTTCCTGAAGTCCTATTTGAGGACTGCTTTATTTCCCCCTCTCTATCCTGTCACACCTTAAACAACACCCAGCTACATACAGGCACTAGGTTTGTGTAAAATATGTTGATACACACGAACAAAGTTTATTTTGGCTATAATGTGTGAACTGATGGCTGACTTTCAACATTTGCATTTTATCTCACGAAGGTGTATATTCAAGTAATTTTTTGTTTCAATTCATGTAGCTATTTAAACTGGGGTACCCTGGACTAAGCAATCTGTATCCCAATTCTCTAGAAAGCCTCCTTAGTTTTTTTTTTCCCCCTTCTAATTTACAAGAAAGAGGAAAAGCTCTTTTAACTGAACTTTGGTATGCGGTTGAGCTTTGTAACTATTTGTTCTCCATGAAAACAAAATTATTTATATTTGCCATATTTTTTCTAGTGTATTAAGTTATTTTAAACAAAAGATGCTATTTCATGACGTGTTGTCGGTACAAAATGTTTCGGTTTCACCTCTGTTAAACCTTTTAAAGAAGTGCCAAGTTATTAATTGAAGACACTGCGATCAACTGAATGAAAATAGTATTGTTTCATTCGATGGGGTGCGCGTCATCTTTGTTCCTGTTACTATTAAACTATCCGGGATAGTCTTTCCTTCTTCGTTTTTGATGAATGTGTCTTTCCAATATACTCACTTGGAAAAGCGCTTGCCTCTGCTCCTACGTGCCGCAATCAAAGGGCTGTGAGAATGGTGGCTCTGTGGCTCTCGTTAGCGCAGAGCGAAACTCCCCCACACTCCCCATTTTATCCACCCTGCATAGAAACCGGATTGGTTTTACACCAAATCAATAAAGGAACGGGTCATACGTGAAATAACATAGAATAGAATACCTCCCCCACAGGACGGACTCTGGTTCTTCATTTTGCTGCACTGTCACCCTTAAGTTTGTTTGGGGGACATTTTAGGGAGGCAGGAAAGCGGGATCACGCGGTGCGAAGTCTGCCTGGGTTAACTGTGGATAATAGACACTCGGTCCCAGGTCCCCGACCCTCCCCGGAGTCGGACAGGCCACGATGGTTTGGGAGTAGGGCAAGAGCCACTGGGGAGGGCGGATCCCCAACTTCCCGCTCCAGTTTAGCGCTTTGGGAAGCAGCTAATGCGTTGGTTAAATTTAGGAAAAGGTAGAAGCCAGGACCATGTTTAGGAAGAGCCAGTTCCTAGTGGTTCTTAGTATCCCGAGGAACCCCTCCCTCCCTCCTCCTCTGGCCCTCTTCTCCCGGAAGAAACCCCACTGGTCAAGCCCCCGGGCGCTGCCTGTTTGGGGGTGGGTGGAGACCGTGGAGACGAAGCCCCGGCCGGGCCCGGGACAGGACCTTCCCCTCCCGCGTCGGCTCCGGGGATGGGGGCGCCCTCCTCGAAGACTGCGAGTGTCCTGAGTGTCCCCCGGGGCCCCCTTGGGGCCGGAGGCGCGGAGAGGAGACGACCCCTCGGCCACAGCCCGGCGTCCTCCGGCCGTGCTCGGGCCCCCCCGCCCGGCCCTCCCGCGGGCTGAGCTGCTACCCGGCGCGGCGCCTCGGCGTGGACGCGCGTGCTGTGTCTGCGTTTCTCTCGCAGCGCACAGCCCACTGAGCGGCCGTGGCCGCGTGCAGCGCTCGGGCCTTGCTGGGCCCCAGCTGACGAGCGGCCCGAGTTCCAGAGACACAGCGGCCTGGGGGCGGGGGGCGCTCTGAAGCGGCCGGGTGGCCTCCTGTCGGCGCCGGGCCCGGGGGTCCCCACAGGCAGGCTCCAAGCCCCAACCCTCATCCAGCCCCCTGGCGGCTCGAGGGAGGTCAGAGGTCACGGGAGAACTTGGGTCCGGGGCCAGCCACGGGCGCGCCGCCGCGCTCGGAGAAGCCCGAGCTCAAAGGAGGCGAGGCGCCGGGCCCCAGGTCGGCC